AGCCAGAACTCGCACTTTCTATCTACTTTCATTTTCATTGTTTAACTTTATCTGTTTCTGCATTCTCTAAAAACTTTTTTTCTTTTTCTCACATTTCAATTCTTTGGAACTCTCTCCCATTCTTATGTTTTCCTAACTCATAACTCCTACAAAATTATGTTTTCTTTTTTCTACCACATCAAAATTGAAACTTAGCTGGGATGAACCTTTGGAAAAAAATGGTGTAATTATAGGGTATGAAGTCTCTGTTGAAGGTATAATGGCATTTCTTTCTTTTTATGTTCGAACTTTTTTTTTACTTTGATAAATATAAATAATAATATAAATATTGAAGCTAAAAAGAAAAATCAATATTTCCATGATTTTGCATTATTAGTTTTAATATTTTTGTTATATTTTGTTTGTATATTTTTATTTATGTATATTTTGTCATGATAAATGTATTAAGAAAAAGAAAAACTAGATGAATTTTTTGATTATAAAGGAACAATAACAACAAGATAAAAGCTTGAGCAGCGAGTAGTATTTGTACAAGAGAGTAAGAAATGCAATCTATTATCTACGGACAAATACTAGGCGTTTAGAAAAATACTTGGCAGAGTTATCCAACTATATTTTCAATGTGTTTTAGACCTTATTTTTATAAGAAAGGACATTATTAGAAGTACTTGTCTAAATATGACATCAATGTTCCACACAAGGATGAATAAAAGATTGATAGATGTAGAGAATGGAATCAGAAGTGTTAAAACGACAAGCAAGGTAAATGATGAACTATAGCAGAGACCAACTTGATTGAGTGCAATGATTGAGTGTTTCCATGAGAGGTCAGTTGTAAATGAAATTTAGAGAATATATTATGTAAAAAACTCAAAATAAGCGTCTCACTTACTCAATAAAAAAGTGTGTATTAAAAAAAAGAGTGAGTGAAAAGAAGAGTGACTGAGTGAGTGAGTCAATATAAAATATATGCAAAATTAAAATAATTTTTTGCAGTAACTGCTCTTATCTGTCACAGAAGAGAGATCTTCTTCATGATGATTTCATGAAGGAATCATGAAGAAAATCCATGAAGGAAATCTCAATGAATAAAGGAAACATTTTGTAACATCATGAAAAAAATGAAACATGAAGATATTCTCAATGAATAAATGAAAAAAAATTTTAAATGAATAAGTGTGTTGTTTATCACACACTTATTTATTTCAAATTTTTAATTAACAATTTATTTCAAGTTTTTATAAAGCAACTTAAATACTGTGGTTAAAAAGGAATGATTCAATAATTTCGCAGTTTTTCTGAGATCCATCTTATAAAAAAGTTTATTGAGAAAACCAGCATCAAAAGCCTTTATCAAGATATATGATAAATATCAATAGAAACATATCAAGATTTTAATCAACCTTATCAAGAGAGCAAGAACAAGGCAACAGCCTTGCCTCACTTTATCATTATCTTGCCTCACTGCTTTCTACCTAATCTTTTTATCTTTTTATTACTATGGTTACAATGAGTCAGCAGTAAAACAAGAAAATTAAAACTATTCATTTATTTCTCAATTCAGATAGCAAATAATTAGTTAATAAATAACTAATATTCAGGTTTGAATTTAATTTAGAAATTGAATTTTTAGACTCAAGATGAATTTTTAGAAGGGTTTTACTAATCACAGTTTAATAATTAATAATGATAGTAACTAGGCAACAGTTAGAGGAGACAGAGCCATCACCAACAAACATCTCAAACACTTCTAACTTCTAACAAGGCTGAAAGCAACCACTAATAAGTTTAGAGTTACAAGAAAAAAAATATAGAGTTATATAGCAAGTAAAATAAAATAAAAAGTGTTGACAGAAGGTTTTAAAAGTTGAAACTGAAATGTTACTTGAAACTGAAAAAATAATAAAGTTATATAGCAAGCAGGTTGACAGAAGACTTGAAAAGTTGAAGGTTGTATGAGTCAGAAAACATGAAGATGGGAAAGAGTTAAAGTTCAGAAAAAAACAAGACAAATAAAAGTTTTTAGAACATGCAGGGGCTGATACAGTAAAAAAATTAGGCTTTGCTGAATTACGAGTCAAACTAGAACAAGTTTTAGTTGATGGAGCTTGAGATTATAACTCCTAGTATTTGTAAGAAAGAGATGCAACTTTATGATCATGGAAATAAGGCTCAAGCTTAGCAGATAGAGCATTTTCAACTTCATTAACAATGCAGTTTATGAAGTTGAAAATGAGAAATTTGTGAACTTTGTTGAGTTTTGTCGGAAATTAAATGAAATTTAAAATTCACAAGTCACTACAAACAGTTTGTTACAGAACTGAGATATGATTTATGATCAATTGCCTGTTCTTAGCCATTGAAAAGAGAAGACTTTTTGTTAAGGCTGGAGTATAAAGTGAAATCATCACCAAATAGAGCCACCCTTAGATTTAAGGTTATGAGGTCGACAATAAAGATAGAATACAAAACAAAAGCATGGATTGAACTTTTAGCTACCCTTAAAGTTACTGGAAATGAAGAAGAAAAAATGATTTGATAATTTCAAAATCTTTTCCAGATACACCACATGAAGCAAGCAGAACTTTATAACATTACACCAAACTTTATTGAAAGCTTTAGATATATCCAAAAATCGATTGTCTGATAGTAAGTTATTTGACTCAAGATGGGATTGGAATGATCAATTACTCAAAGACATTGCTAACAACAGATAGAAGACTGATTGGACAATAGTTAGAGAGCTCATGATGTTTTAGAAATTTTAAAAAATTTATATGTCACCGAGTGATTGGTTAAAAATCTTGCTTTTAACCCTATTATTGAAGATCATGTAGATTAATTTCTAGTTTTTAACAAAATTTGTAAAGAATTTTTAAAAAATATATACAATCAGGGTTGCTACTGATCATGGAAATCATGGAAATGTTACGGAATTTCATTTCAGGTCTTGGAACTTTTTAAAATAATCTTTTTCTTCTAATGATATTTTTAAAATAATTGTAAAAAAGAATTCACATTTTGACAAAAAGCCTTCTTTTTTGGATTGGTTAGAACAGGCAGCCAGACTTTAATCTGTTCTTCCATCTATAACAGCTTGAGGCTTGCAGTTTCTTTTTGATTTTAACCTCAAAAATTTCCTGGGGAGAAAACAAATAAAAAATTGAATTCACAAAATTTGCTATAAATAACTTATTGGTAGGTGTAGTGTTATTGACAGGCAACAGTTTCCTAATCCCACTTCAAATGCTGTACTTTAAAGGGAAAGTTAGTGAGGGCAATAAAAGAGTTTTTTGTCCTAATCCTTAAGTGTTTTTTTTTTACAAAGTTAATAAAACTGAATTATAGAACCATAAGGCTGAATTATAGAAAATTGAATTATAGAACTGTATTTTCATTAGGAAATAATAGAATGAGTTGTCATAAAAACGGAGAATTAAGCAAAACCCATGCATTAAGTCAAGGAGATACAGCATTCAACATCCTGAACCGGAAACAATTTATAATAAATACATCTGCCTAAAAGATAAAGAAGGGGTGCAAGAAGAAGGCTTGTTAACAGATAGAATCTGTTTACCCTTTAAACTTAAACCACTTTACCGCTTGTTAGAACAACCCTTGCAATGCACTTTTAAGTGTAATATATGATAAAATTTGATGACATAATTAAAGAAGTTTTTTTTCTTCTTTAGTTTGACTAATATAACAATCATCCAAATGGCCAGTAGTTATATTTTTTGCATTAGATATTTTTATTGCAACTTTTGCTTTCTCTTTCTTATCTATTTGGATGTTTCAAAGTCTGCTAGTTTCAAAATAGCTCTTGCTTTGTTTTATAATCTTTTCTTGAACTGGAACTTAAATTTAGGGAAGAGTTTAATTAAATTTAAGAGAATCTTATTCAATTATTAACAAGCATAAAACTAAAATATAATAACCTTTTGAGATATTGAGATATTCCAACAGTTTTTTCAGTTTAGTATAATAATAAATTAACAATTAATAAAATAACTGTTTAATTTAAAGTATTTTAACTTTTTGCTTGTTATTTGTAACTGTTTGTTAATTATTTTAATATCAGTTTGACAACCATCTCATTAGTCTTCTTCCTATCATAAGCAAAGTTCTTGAGTATTTAATTAACAAACACTTAATCTCTCATTTTGAATCTAATAACTTACTTTCTGATCATCTGCGCATTAGATAGAGGTGAAGAAGTTAAGACTATCATTTTTGACATTTCTAAAGCTTTTGATAAAGTTTGACATGCTGGTCTTCTCAATAACTTTTTTTCTTACAATGCATCAGGTAGCATCTTTAAGATTTTTGAATCTTTTCATTTCATTCGTAGTTAAAATTAGTCCTCTATGGACAGTACTCTTATTCATATGCCCTTTCTTTTTAAGACAAGGTGCAAAAATAAATTGTAAACATAGTTGGACCTGCTTTTGCAGCCAAGAGCTAGCGATTCTTGTACCATCTACTAAAATTCATTCTTGTGTTACTTTGTCATTTAGTTAAGTCTCATCCTTTTTCTGTGACTGTTCTTACGTGCTATAAAATCTCTTATTCATCTAGTTTTTTTCCTCAAACATCAGTTTTTTGGAATTCGCTTCTTTTATCTTGCTTTCCTGATTTATACAATTTGCAATCTTTTAAGTTGTCTGTCAATCATTATCTTGCTCTACAAACTTCATATTTTCTCTTCCAGTAACTTCCAACTCTTATAGTGGTTGTTTGCAGCCTTGTTGGAAACAAAGATGTTAAAAAAAAAATTTTTTTTTGAGCTTTTAGTATACTTGAAGCCCTTTTTCTAATCCTTATGCTAAAAATTCTTAAGCTTAGATTAGTTTATTTTTTCTAAAGTCTAATATAATATCATATTGCTGTTATTGCACTCTTTACTGATTAAAGGAAATCCAAAAGCATAGGATATTTTTTTTTTCTGTATTTATATTTTTAAAACTTTTTGGATTTACTATTTTTTGGAAAACCATTATGTGTTTTGTTTCAAATGTCCTCTTTTATTGAATGTTGATCTTTTTTTAGCAAATGTTTTTCCTCCTCATATCATGATTTTTTGTTTATTATTTGTTTAAATATATATTTATTTATTTGATTTATGCTTTAGAATTAAATTTATATATAAATAAATAATAAAGTTTCAAAACAATTAAAGAACTACAGCAATAATTTACACAGTTAAACATTTCCAGGTAATATATAGAGGAGTTGATCGCTGTTTTACTGCGCAAGCTCTTCAGCCAACTAAAGTTTATAGCTTTACAGTAACTACATATAGTTATATTTGAAATTTGTTTTTAGTTTTAAAATGTTATTCTGAGAAAATATTAAATTTCAGGTTTCAGCTTGGATGAGTGAGGGTAGATGCGAAAGTTTACCCAGAACACGTCGAATCAGCAAGCAATGTAAGTTGTTTTAATATATCCAAATATTAATAATAATATATAGCTAAAAAAGTATAATTTTTTTTTAGTTTTGATTTTAAATCAGATTTGAATTCTTTTGACATTACGTCACCTTTACGTCACCTCTTCACTTGATTAACTTTTAGTTTTTTTATTCTTTATTCATTTGCCAATGTTGTTGTTATTGGTGACTTTTATATTTATCAAACTCATTGGCTTGGCTCTAGACTTTGCTGGACTTATATCTCAAAATAAATTTTATTTAAACCTCTTACCTAGAAAAGAGTTAACAACTACAAACTGAAATGTATTTAAAAAGTGTTTAAATACCTAAAATTACCATCTACAGCAGGGATGGCCAAAGTCTTAATGACAAAGAGCAAAAAAATTAATCACAAAATAAATAATCTGTGTAAAAAGTAAATGATTACTACAGATGTAGTCTTTTTTATTTATTTTTTTTCATTATTTTTCAATTCAAACAAAAACATCTTTTCAATTATCTAAGTATAATAACATCTGTGCAACGACACCTGGAAGTTTTACAGATGTAGTTATATCTTTTTAATTATGTTAAGAAAAACCACATATGTACAACTACATTTGTAAATCCTGAAGACGTAGTTACATTTTTTAAATTATATTAAAAATAGCTACATGATTTCATCAAATTTTAAAATTATAATGTGTTATATTAATGAGATGTAGTTACATATATGATTTTTTTTTTTTTCAGATGTAGTTACATCTGGAAAAAATAATTAAATAATAATGCATTATTTTAACCAGATTTACTTTCATATAAGTTTTTTTTTTCAGATGTAATTATATCTGTAAAAAATTCTTCCAGATGTTATTGGCCTTTGTAAAAATTGCCAGATGTAGTTCTATCTAAAGATGTTGTTGATTTTCCAGATGCAAATAAAGGGGTCGTTGATTTTCCAGATAATATTGGACAGATGTTGTAAGAGTAAAAAGAAAATACAGATGATCTTGGACGAAATTGCACAGATGATCTTGGACTAGTCCACAGATGTTTTGGACAGATGTAGTAATCTTTTACCCAAATTTCCAGAGTTCTTTCAGGAGAAATATATGACAGTGAGCTATTGGTGACAGAGCTTATAATCATGTCTGTCACCAATAGCTCACCAGTTTATTCTTTAATCTTGTGTGATTTTTAATTTCTATGATCAGGGTTGGGATCAAATATGTATTTTTATTCGAAGTTGTATTTATATTTGGTAGTTATGAGGTAAATTGGTGTATTTGTATTCGTGTTGCATTAGATTTAAAAATTTCTTAAAAATTTTTATTTGCATTTGTTTGAAATAGTGTTTTTCCCCATAAAATCCCACTGTAAACAAGGTTGACTGGTGTTTTTTTGGGAAAAACTAAGATATTTGTTTGTTTATTCTCTTCTTTTTTAATGCTATAATAAGCTAAAATTTAGTTTGTAAAGGATAATTTTTAAAGTTTTAAATTTAAATTGATATTTATAAAAGACTTGTTTTCATTCTTCTATTTAGCATACCATTTTATCAATATTGTATTAAAACAAATCTATGTATTTTTTTAAACCTAACTTACAAATACTTGTATTTGTATTTGGAAAATGCCAATTACTTATATTTGTACTTAATTTGGAAATCTGAAATTAAAGTATTTGTATTTGTGTTTGACCCCTGTGTATGATTATTAATTTGGTGTTTAATTGCTGATATATTGATTCTGATATAATGAATGGTTGATAAAAAGTTTTATTATTTTATATTTTGAAATCTGCAAAGTCATTGTCAAATAAGTGTAAAAGTCGATATGGCGGCTTTTTTATAACTCCATTCAACTTCTACCTCTAAAAAGTTATTTTTCGTTGTTGTTGTTGTTGTTGTTATGCGTGTTATGTCGTTGTGCGTCTTGTATTAATAAAAAATAATGCATTGCAATGCTAACTTTATTGGTTTCTCTATCTAGTTCTAACCAGATTTAGATTTTCTATCTAACGGTTAAATTTCTTTATCTACTCTTAACTCGGTTTAAATTCTTGATTTACTATTAACCCATTCGGAAATTTTTGTGATTTGCCTTAAGTTACAACAGGCGAAGTAGTGAGCCAGTATTGGCTGTCCAATAGTTGGCTGGCCTGCGCAGACAAAGTACTGATTAAAATGTTAGACATTACTGCACCAGTGCTAAAAACTAGTACGGGAAGTAATCCCTTAGTCCAGTGCTGGCGCAATACTGAATGCCGGGCCTCGAAAAAAGATGTGCCAGAATATTCATACTCTAGCACATGTCTTAATTAATATTCTAGCACACAGAAAAAAATGTGCCAGAATATTCATATTCTAGCACATGTCTATATATATATATATATATATATATATATATATATATATATATATATATATATATATATATATATATATATATATATATATATATATATATATATATATATATATATATATGTATATATATATATATATATATATTATATTATATTATAATATATATATATATATGTATTATATATGTTCAGAACTTCCTAAGAACTAAGCAACTAAAAATATTTTCTTTTTCAAAGCAATTAGAAAGAACTAAAGTGCTTTTTAGTTACTTTAAATCACTTTATTGTTTATTTTTGGTAATTGGAAGAGTTAATAATAATAAATTTTTTTTGAATATATTGATTGATTTATTTTACTTAATTTTGATAAGAAGATTTATATAATATAAAAAGTATGGTAAACCAGATCTTTTTTATTACTTTTACCTGGAACCCAATACAGTGAGATAAAACTAAAACTAAAAAAAAATACACTAATGTCTTTTTAGATTTTGTTAATTTATAGTTTTCAATAAGTAGGCATCTGTCAAGTATGTTTGCAGTAAAACCACTGGTTTAGGATCCCCCTTCCCTTTATATGCACCTGTATGCATTTAACAGCTCCCCCTCTCTTTCTGTCTGTGCACATAGCATTTATTACAAAGTTAATTCCCTTCTATTACCAACGCATAAAATTTTTAAAACATTAAAAACAAAAAAACATTTAGTTAGTTTTACATATCTATATTACATAATATAAGAATATTTTTTTAAACTCATTGCTTTTGTTGAAAAAAAAATTATTTTATTTTAAATGTTTTATTTAAAAAAAAAAAAATTTTTTTAAAAAAAAATTTTAAAAACAGATGCATAACAAGAGATAGTCAAACATCATATGTACTGGTTCGCCCCCCCCCCCTCTCTCTCTCTTTCTTTCTTTCCCATGTACAAGTTATACCTGCGTACGTACTTTATGGAAGACCATTAAGTATGTTTACATATGTATCAAATGTTAATCATTAGTCAACAGTTTTAAAGAAACTGGAATATGTTTACAGTTTATAAATTGTGTTTATACAATATATGTTTAAAGTTTATATATATTTATATTCTGTTCATTCTATGTTTTAATAGTGGTGTTACTTAGTGGTGTGTAGAGCAAGATTGTTATCCTTGTAACTTTATTTATACTTTTTATTATACTGTTCTTTCTTCTTTTTTTTGTTTATAACTTTCCTAAAATTTTTATATTTTATACTTTTTTATAAATTTTTTATAAAGATTTCATAATTGTAATCTTATTTTTTTTACTTGTCATTGTTTTATTTTTTACTTGTCATTGTTTTATTTTTTACTTGTCATTGTTCTATTTTTTACTCGTCATTGTTTTATTGTTTGCTTTTCATTGTTTTATTGTTTGAGTACTGTTATAACTTATAATTATATATAGATAAATTTGTATTTTAATAAATTTTTCAGATATTATATCAAGTTTAATTATTATTAATGATTTATTTACTAATAGCCTGTATTACAGGTTGCTTACTGCTAGTAATAATATTAATATATATTATAAAATAATATATATGTATTTGCTATCAAATATTTAAAAAAAGAGTCTTTTTCATTTATAAACATATAACCTTTTAGATAACCTAAATCAATTATACTTTAAAAAACTTTTGATAAAATTTAATTTTAACTTTTAGTTATATTTAGTTATACTATTTTAGATTAATCCAAGGCATGGCTGCATATAGACAAAAGAAACATCGTCATTTTAAACAACAAAAAGAAATAAATACTTTCTATCCAGAGGAAAATTTATCTGAATATTTAGACACTGCGATTGATCCATCTATTGAAATTGATACTTTGAGTAATTTAGTAATCTATCAATCTGAAGATACTCAAATTGATGTTTCTGAATTTTCTGAATTTGATTCATCTTCCGATTCATTTATTGATTCAGAATATTATTCTCATACATTTCCAGCTGATAGTTTTTCAGATAATGAACCTTTTCATCAGCAATCAACTGATTTAATAGAAACCAATTGCCGTGAAAAATTACAGAAATGGACTGTAGACCATCGAAGCCATTTGACTGTTGAAACAGTAGAAGATTTGTTAAAAATACTGAGGGTAGAAAATATTCATAATTTACCTAAATCTGCAGTTACATTGATGCATACAAAGTCAAATAAAAATATAAATTTAATGAATAGCGCAAAAAACACAATTGGATATTTTATGTTTCTTGGTATAGAACAAGGCTTAAAAAATGAAAAATTGAGTAAAATGTCATTGATACCAGGAGTTTTGTGGAAGAGTTTTGAAATTGTTTTAATTAAAGAAGCAAGTATGTAATGAAAGTCTTTGTGTATTCAATTGTAAATGCATTATAACTTAAATATTGTCATATATAAAGATATTTACTTACATTATAGAAAGCTATGAACAAGGATTGCGACATATGATTAGGCCATGCTCTGAATTTGTAGTTCAGAGCAGTAATTTTGAAGATTTAAACAGTTCAGAAGAAGAATCTGCTCTTGTTAAATTAAGCAACTCTGAGCTTAAAGCATCTTTAAAAGATATCTCTTCGTTTAAAGGTATGACTTTAAGTTTATATAATTTTTTTATTCCAAAAAAATCTTAAAACATGATAAAAAATCAATAGAATTATTTAATCTTATTACTGTTTTTTTTGGTTTTTTAATGATATCTATATCTGATCTGTTTTAGAGCATGAGTCCTTTGTTTCCTTTAAAGTAAAGAAAAGGCGATCGTCATGTTGTGATGAAGAATCTAATGATTCTTTGTCCTCATCTCCTAAAATAAAGACCTATAAATGTAACCCAGAGAGAAAAAACCGTATGTTTTCTTTAATCGAAAAAAAATTATAATTACAAATAACCCTTATTGTTGCATACACAAAAACGTTTTGAAGGAATTTTTATTATTCAAAAAAGTTATTATTTTCAGAAATGGTAAAGAATTCTAGTATGTCACATGAAAACTCCAGGAAAAGTTTAAATGAAAATAAAATAAAGAAAAAAGGTAATGCTTTAGAAAAAAAAAGGTTTCTTAGTTTTCTTTCTTACATATACAGACCTTGTGCATGAGCATTAAGCTATTTTTTTTTTGTCTTTTTTTCTCTTTTTGTGAGGTCATGAAATTTTTATTTTTTATTTAATAAAATTAAAATAATTAAAAAAAAAATTTGCTAAACTGAAATTGCTTACTGCTTAAAATTGCTTAAGAAGTACGAAGATAGCTTAATGCTTAATGCTTTAAAACAAGGCCTGCATATAAATGTTATTTTAATATTTTTTAATGAAATCATTTCCAGAATTTTGATCATTGCTTTCTCAGTAAAATTACAATATTTTTTTAAGATGTGATTAAGACAATATTTTTTTAGATGTGATACTTAATCCAAATTATAAGTATTGCCCTACATGTGGCTGTGCAGGTAAGGATTTTGTTAGAAATGTTTTTATCTACAATTCTTAATTTGTTGTAAATAATTAATTTAATTTTCACTTTATTAAGAAAATGACATTATGGAAACTTTATGTTTAAACCACACCAGTGTGGAAATGGACTTTATTATATTATTTATTCATTTATAACATTGAAAAAAAACTACATGATGATAATGTAATAAATACTGATTTATTCATTTAAATTGAATGGTAGTTTTTCTTCACTAATGAGAACATTTATATTTTCATGACAGCTAAAAATGCTCCTGCATCGAAAGCTAATCTGGAATCTGCCAGGAGAAGTATCGAATATCGTATTAGAGAGAAAGCGAAAATCACAAGAGCGTTGTTTAGTGTTCACAATAACACATATTCAAAAAATTATATCCGAACAGACAATTAACGAATTACCATTCAACGATGTAGAAAACTTCCTTGATTTTGATAATAAATTAAAAACTGATACAGTAATGATGCAAAAACTGGTAAATAGTTTAATACTGATTCAAAAAATGCTAGAAATATTAGTCTTAAGTCTGCTACGAAATAATGTATTGTTAAAAATTATTTTTATTATAATTAATATTATATTTAGTTATTTAGTATATAAATTTTATATATAGATTAAAATTTTTTTTTTTAGAAATGCTTTATCATGTTAAATGTGAAAAGTACATCAAAACTTTCTGAAAATTTTTCTTTTATAATTCCTAAGATTATTTTACCAAGTATTCAAGTACTCTACAGTGCTTTTGGGTGAGAATCAAAAGGTGTAAAAAAGTTAAATTTTTCTGGCACAGAAACTTATAGATATTTGCTAGGTATATTTTCTTATTTTAAATTTTAACAAACACTAATAAAATATTATTTATATGTAATCTCTTTTATATGTAATATGTAATCTACATAATTGATATGTAATGTGTAATTTCTTACTAAACCCCTAAATACACAATTTAGATCTTTATTTTAGAAGTAGTTACAATCAAAATTTCCTGACATAAATGAAAAAGAAATTTCAAGTCAAATAGGTCGCTGGTTTTCAGGTGCAAAGGATAGAGATGGTGGAAAGAGATACCGATTATTAAATAAAAAAAGTCGTGAAGAGCGAAAATAAAGACGAAACTCTATAATATTATGTATTTGTAATTATACAAAAAAAAATTACTTAAAAAATAAAAATAATATATATATATATTTTTTTTTAATTAAAAGATTGTCTTTTAAAATTTATACTATAGTGTCAATTGTGTGTGTGTGTGTGTGTGTGTGTATATATATATATATATATATATATATATATATATATATATATATATATATATATATATATATATATATATATATATATATATATATATATATATATATATATATATATATATATATATATATATATATATATATAATGATTTTAAGACCCTGATAACAGGTTTATTTTGTCGCGACAGCGACAAAATCTGATAGTGAGCTGATAGATATGATCGTGATAGATAGATAAAGCGCGACAGCGCTTAATTTTTCAAGAAATTGCTATTTCAATATTAGCTGCTAACAATGGTTAATAACTAGACAGTCAGTACTGGCAAAGCGTTATCATTCCAGATAAATGCCAGTGCCGAACCAGTACTGGCTGCCAGTATTAGACATTACTGGCGAAGTACTGCGCCTGATGTGAATTTTTGATTTGGCAGTAATACGCCATTACCAGATGCCAGCAATGGTTAAGTTTTGGACATCCAGTACTAACAAAGCGTTATCATTCCAGATAAATGCCAGTGCCGAACCAGTACTGGCTGCCAGTATTGCGCCAGTATTAGACAGTACTGGCGCAGTACTGCGCCTGTTGTGAATTTTTGCTTGGGAAGCCAGTTTTGATTTTTTATCTACTTTTTGTTCGGTTTAAGTTTTTTATCTACTTCTAACCCAGTTTGTTCTACTGGAGATTCCTGGTATCGAAGTGGTTTGATGTGTTATTTGAATATTCGATAATCAAATTATTTGAATAAACATTTTGTGAAAAGTTCAATTAAAATATTAAAGATAATCTGATAACATTTTTTAATTTTGTTGATTTTTGAGTCGTGCACTTTTTTTGCAAACGAATTTTTGTGGCATAAACATTAGAAATAAAGTTTTATGATGGCTTCCATTGATCATTTTTATGTGATCATTTTTATTATTGTTATTAAAAAAGTTCGGAAATAAGATAAAAATTAAAATTTTAACTTTTTTTTTTATTGTAGCTACATCATCGTCTATTTTAAAAAGAAGAATCTCTCTCAAAGAGTAATTTGAATCGCGATCCAACGAATTGTTAGTATGCGACTATATGCAACTTGTAAAGTTAAAAAATTTTAAGTAAAAATAAAAATGACAAAAGTGTAATTGTTAAATATATGTAAATAATATTTACAATTATTTATATAAAGTTTATGTTTTACAAAAGTTTTTTTTCGTAAGATGGTATATTGCAACTTTAAAATGTTTTAAGGATGGTGATGAAATACCAGCAAAAAAAACAGAGAAAAAAAAAGAGTATCGTTTACAAAAATTCATAAAACTTATTCCTTATAGACGCTATCCAGCTAAATTAGGAAGATCAGTTGAAAATAGTTGAAAACCAATTCCAAATTCATCAGAAATTTGATTAAAACAAACTGGATGAAAGCTAATTAAAAAACAGTTATGTTTCTTCATATCAGAGCCGACAATATGGGTTTCATCAATATATCTAGAGTTTTCTTTAATAAAAAAAGGAAGGGGAGGCGGTGTCGTCGGCTCAGCAGAGAGCCAACGTCGGTTATCTGCGGGTCAGACAATCAGAAATAAGCATAAGGGTATTAAGAAACAAAAAATGATAAAGAAACGGCACCTTCAACAACTTTTTCCAATGAACAGTTAATCCTGCTGAGGCGCCCTGTTAACAGACAAAAAAGATTGAGTTTATAGAGTTAGTTTGAAAGAGGTCCTACCTAATATAAGGGCTTTTCCAAAGTGCATCAGGGGTTAATTTTTTATAGTACATTTTTCAAGGACAAAAAACTCGCACTAAATTTTTACTTATATCATACTTTATTGATAAAGAAATTAAAATTAACTAATACTTCTATTTTTATGACAAATGTAAAATCTCATTCTAATAGAATATTTAGCTTCCATATACTTTCCAGCAGGATTTAGCCTTCAAAAATAACGCAAAAACGGTTCGAAAGGAAAATTTCTCGTGTTTCATTCCTGTGTCAGAATAACTCGCCAACAGTCCAGATTTGACCCCTTATGTTTTCTTTGCATGAGGTTATTCGTGTTAAAAAAACTAAAAAATGTAAAATGCAATAAATTAAATGATTCTAAGGATTTACTAGCCAAAAGTGGGATGAAATTTTTTACGATATTGTCTATTGTCATAAAAGACAATAGAAAATACCGTCAAGAATTTCATTTCGCATATGTGCATAAAATCGATAATCCATTATGTTATTGTTTGCACAGCAATCATAGGCATTTACAGTTATTCTGAAAACAATATTATGGAATAAAAGCATTATACACTGTCAAGTGCTATTTTCTGTTGTTGTTTTTATGAAACATTTTGGCCCGATAAAGTAGAGACGTAATCATCAGATGTAAATATATTTAAAAAAAAAACACTACAAAAAATCTGTGAATTCCTTTAAACTATAGAACAATTATAACCAAAAATTATTTTCTTTTTTTATTAGAAAAACTTCCCCGTTTATCAGATAAAATAAAAACCAGAAACGTTTGATTTATCATATACTGTGCTTTAACAGACGATAAACGATTATATTTGTATCTTAGTCATGAAATAAATCTGAAGAATTGCTTCACACAAAACTAATTTATACTGAAACTTTAGAGAGAAACCTCTTGCCCAATTCCATGTTAAACAAACATTTTTTGTTTATTAAATGAAATTGCGCATAACAAGAGGATTTTTACATTACATAACAGTGATTAGAGATATCTTCTAATTAGGATTTTTAGGATGTCTTACTTCTTTTCATTCTATGATTTCTTATTTTATGGTTTAACTCTATAAAAATTTTGAAAATTTTTATAATACCATTATAATAAAAAAAATATTTTTAATACTAATAATGTTTTGATATAATATTATAAAAGTATTATAATGATATTATAAAAATTGTAAGCAAATTTTAAAATTTCTTTAAGTCTGCAGTTTTTCAAAATAAATTGAAACGCCTATTTCTTTTAATTTCACCTAAATAACAACAACAACAACAACTATAAAATGTACAAATTTATTTTGAAAAACTACATATTCAAGCGGAGGAAAAAAAATTTATTTAAAGGAGCAAAAAAAAGCAAAAAATGAAAGAAAAAAAAAAAGTTGTTTTTGCCCACTATCAACTATAAATCTAATTTTGCCGACTCTAGTATTCAATTTGCCTAATAATAAAGTTTGTAGGGGGGCTGTGTATGTATATATATATATATATATATATATATATATATATATATATATATATATATATATATATATATCACACCCTAGTGGAAATATTTCTTGCGAGAAAAAAGTACACCAGAAACGGATTAAAATATTCTGTATATAAATTCTGTATAAAATTTTTAAAAGATATATATAAAATATATCTTTTAAAAAAAAAGGGGGGTTAAGCGGGCAGGTCATGATTTTTTGATGTTTAAAATAGGTAACTTCCAGAGATGGTGCAAACTTCAAATTTTGTAATATTGATACTGGTATTAATTAAAAATGTTTTACAAAAAATTACAATGATAGGAGGATAGGAATGACTGGGAGCAATATTCACCTGAAAAATCAGGACCCACTGTCCCAAATCGGAAAACAAGAAAAAAATTTTTTTTTTGCATTATCTCAAAAAAAATAAAAATTCATCGTGAAAATTATTTTATCTTATATATTTTTATATATCTTTATATTAAAAATTTTTTATACCTTTATATAAAAAATTTCGTATGGTTCATAAATGGCGTCCAGGAAAAGTTTAAAACCCCTTCTTTTTGAGGGGGTTGTCAACTTTACAAGGTCATAACTTTTGAACATTAAAATAGAACGTTAAAATAAAAAGCAATTTTTACAGATGAATTTTAGTCGAGTTCATAATGGAATATTTTTTTTAAGTGTTCTTATTGCTCCTTTCCCCCAAAAATATTTGGAGCTTAGGGTTTTTATTTTATGGAAAGTTTTAAACAATACGTTAATTACGGTAAAAAAGCGTTTCCATTACAAGTTAAATGTATAAACAACATTTCTCTGTTTTTTATATTTCTTTTTTTTTTTTAATTTAATAATAGATTCTATGAACTTTTTTTATCTGCTGCAAAAGTTAATTAAAAAATTTTAAAAATTGGTTAGTATTGCTCATATCGTTTTAAAATGCCAAATATTAAAGTTTCTTAAAAAGATAATAGAGTTTTAGTCTGCTTAATTTGTTTTTTAAAAGGATCAAGAATGATAAAAGTTAAAGAATGAAGTGTGACATTGACCAGAATACAAAAGTTTTTTTTTAAATCATTTGATTTGAATTTTTTTTTTGAAAATATTTGAAAATATTTCCTAATGTACAATAAAAAAATGTACAATAAAAAAATTTCCTAATGTACAATAAAATAGAATGTTACAACATTTATAGCTATATAAACGTTTCATTAGTTCACTCTTAACAATCTTTTAGATTCATATTGGCTATATTCATTTTTAAAGATAATATATTGAAAACTTGTTTTGAGTTTTATGGCAGCGGATCTAATATTTCATGGGATCTAATTTTCTACCACAGATCCTCCTAAAAATATTCTTGGAAGAATAAATTATTATGAACTTAGAATAACATAACATGTTTTTTATTTTTAATATGTTTCTTCTAGAATATTTTTTTGTTTGAAATCTAACAAGAAATTCTCTGATTTTTAGTAACAGTAGTTGTTACATGAATTGAAATTTTCTGAACGAAAATGTAATCTTTCATTTAACACGGAAGGTGTGAACACAAAGGCTTTTAAAAATTTTTGCTAATAAGACTGTAAATTAAAAAAACTTTTGATAGAAGACTGTAAATTAAAAACTGTTAACAGAAAACTGTAAAATAAAAACTGTTGATGGAAGACTGGAAATTAAAAAACTGTTAACAGAAGACTATAAATTAAAAACTGTAGATAGAAGACTTGTAAATAAAAACTGTTGATAGAAGACTGTAAATTAAAAAACTGTTGACAAACTAAACACTGTAGATAGAAGACTGTAAATTATATAAGTCAGGAAAACATGAAGACAGGAGAGATTTAAAAGTAAAAGTTATTTAAAAGTTTTTTAACAGAAAGGACTGTGATCTAGTGTGATGTGCGATCTAGTGTATTAATAATGCTTAACATGCTGTAATTAGTTAACAGAGAATTTTTTTTACACCATTAGCAATTTGTACTCAAGCTTAGGTTAGTTTATTTTTCTAAAGTCGAATATAAGTTCACAATACTGTTATCACACTCCTTACTGATTGAAGAAATTCCAAAAGCATGAGGTGTTATTTTTCTGTGTTAAACTTTTATATGCTTTGTTTCATTTTATATGTCCTCTTAAATTAAATTTTTTTTTTTTTAGCACACTATTCCTTTTCATATCATTATTTTTTATTTAATATTTTTTATTTATTCTTCAATGCTTTAGAATTGAATTTATATAAAAATAGATAATATATTTTAAAAAGACATGATCAAAACAAATAACGAACTGCAGCTATAAATTAACATAGTTAAACATTTATTTCCAGGTAACATATAGAGGCATTGACTGCTGTTTTACTGTGCAAGCTCTTTAACCAACTAATATTTATAGGTTTACAGTAACTTAATTTAGTTATAATTAAATTTTTTTTTAGTTTTAAAATGTTATACTAAAGTGAAAATATTAAATTTTAGGTTTCAGCTTGGATAAATGAGGGTAGATGCAAAGGTTTACCCAAAACACGTCGAATCAGCAAGCAATGTAAGTTGTTTCAATATATCTAAATAGCAATAATAATTTTATAACTATGGCAGAAAAAGTTCTATAAATAAGTTCTATAATTCTATAAATATGGCATCAAATATTTTTAGTTTTGAAATCAGATTTGAATTTTCTGACTGTTCCGTTACGGGCTTTTGTTAAGTATCTTTTTACATTAGCATAAAAGTCACCAGTAACAATATTGACGTTTATTAATATTGTTACTGATGACTTTTATGATTATCAATTTCATTGACTTGGCTCTAGACTTTGCCCTAAACCAAAAAAAAAAATCTAAATCTTTTATTCAGAAAACAGTTAAACAACAATTACAACTTTATATATACAAACTGGACTGAATCTAAAAAGTTCATTTATAACCACTAAAAAATAGGTTAAATACCTTAAAGTACCATCTACAGCAAGAGTAGACAAAATTATTTAGACAAAGTGCTAAACAAAAATTTACAAAATAATTTAGAAAGCAAAAAAGTTTTATTTCAAAAAAAGCAGACTTAATTTTTTTATAAAAATTTTTACTGAAGCAAATTAATTATTTGAAGTGGTGAAGTTCACCGCCTAAAACTAATTTTTTTATGTCTTGATTGGTTTTTTAGATTTTTGAAGTATTAAGTTATTAATATGATCAGTCAGATACTTATATTTTTCTTTTTTTGTAGCTCATTGTATAAATTATATTTTTACAAATTTATGTCAAGCCAAATATCCAGATTGCTTTTAGGAGCAGTGATATTTTGTAATGTTAACTTTATTTTAGGAGCAGTGATATTTTGTAATGTTAACTTTATTTTAATCTTAATTATCTAGTTCTAACTAGATTTATATTTTTCATCTACTTCATACTGGTTAAATTTTTTTTTTATTTCTAACTTGGTTTAACCATTTCTAACTTGGCTGCAATATAATAGGGTTTGTCAATAAATTACATTACTAATTTTTTTAACCTTCCTTAGCCCTTGTCACAACTTGTTAACTCTTTAGTAATACGAGTACTTTAGTACGAGTCGTCACAAAACCATGCTTCTCTCCAAACATACGTAGAGTTTGTAAAAGATTGATAAACTTATAGTTGCAATCAAATCGGAGATTTTGATCATTCAACTTCTTTTTGAAAATCCGACATATTATGTCAGATTTTATTAATGACCAACAAAAATTTTGTCATTAAGAAATGTTCTGAAATGAGATAATTAAAAATTTATTTTTTTTTAGCTGTAGCTACATCATCCTCTATTTCGAAAAGAAGTATCTCTCTGAAAGAATAGTTTGAATCGCAATTGTTAGTATGCAACTATATGCAACTTGTTAAGTTAAAAAATTTAAAGTAAAAATTATTAGTAAAAATAAAAATGACAAGTGCAAAGTAAAAATGTTTATTAAATATATGTAAATAAATGTTTGCAGTTATTTATATAAAGTAAAATGTCTTCACAAAAGTATGCAAAATATTATTGTGTCGCAGAAACAAAAGCAATATTCACAACTGATAGGAGACCACAAAAATACGGTTGGCTAGAAATCACTGTAAAAATTAAAATTTTATTTTACTGATTTTTATAAAATAAGGAAATTATCATGTGAATAACCATTAAAAATAGTTTAAATTGAAGTCCAAAAAGTTATTGAATTTATTGCGCATGCACCGAATTTATAAAAAAAAAGGGTAAAATAGTAACGAATATTTCCTAAAATATTTCAGAACTTATATGGTATTTAGAAAATATTTTCAGAGTATATTAATAAAATGATAAAGAACAATGTGAACTAAAACCAAAGTTGGATATAAATTCTACATTTAGTTAGAAGATATTCATGACAACATTTCTATTCTGCTGCCCCAAAAATATGTTATAGTAAATGTGATTGTTTTATTGAGGTTCATATTATATTCATACTCATTTTAAAACTTTTAGGAAAATTTCTAAGCGTTTGGTCAACAGCATCCTGAAATCGGCCGTGGCGCAGTCGTTAGAGCGCTTGCCTTAGAAGGAGGAGATCCAAACGAAGGAGGTTCAAAACGAGTTCTAGACATATTTTTGCGTCACGGTAAGGAAGGAGGCGTGATCTTCCTGGTTAAATGCACTTCCGCGGTGCTCTGTGACAAGACCATTAGGACTTCTTGGGCCACTTAAATAACAAAAAAAAAACGGTGAGCACAAAAAGCGAAATTTTAAATTTTCGAAAAACTCAAATAAAGTATAACATCGTTTAAAAAACTAACTTAAGTCGTTAATATATTAAAAAGATTCAGCTTTATAGCAATCACCACCTTCAAGTTCCTTGTTGACATCAATTAACTTTTTTTATGCCTTAAACGATTTCGTCTATATTTAAGTTTCTTTGTTCTTCGATTACATTTTGAAATATTTCAACGATTTTCTTTTTTTGCAGAAGCTTCAAAAAATCGAAAAAATATTCAGCAGAAATATTTAGACTAAATATTTTTTTTAATTCATTATAGCTACATCACTAAAGTTTATAATTGAAGAACATTTTTTTTGCTGCAATAACTTCTCTTCGGGCAACGATATCAAATTAGTGAATTAAGGCATTCTCATTGACATTTTGAGTCAAACCATGCATTTATTAAATGATCTAATCTCACTAAGTTCTCGAAAAATTGGTTTAATTTCATTTTTTATTTTTTTTCCTATTTTTTGAACAGTGAAATAACACTTAAATAACCATAGTATGACTGTAATAAATTGACAACTTTTCCCGTCAAATGATCTTTCCCAAAAAGTTTTTTTTTCATCTGACAGCATGTTGTTTTTTGTACTTTGTTTTTAAATTACTTAACCTCGCATCTAAAGACTTTTGAACGTGACCATCACATTAAAGTTTATGAATTAAAAACTCATCACCATAAGGGTTTAGTTCTATAACTTTTATGTATGAACTGGTATCCTCATTTCCAATGTAATTCTTATATTTTATGTTGTGTCTTGAAACTGATCTATGAAATATTGCAACTGCCCCATCCAGCTTCACGGAACTAGCTGATTTATTATGATTTATGTGGAATGAATCATGCCTTCTTTTTGCCAGGTTCCATGAAACTGTGCATTCAGAAATTCTATTGTCAGTGTTTCTAGAAACAAAAACAGCTATACGACATACTTTCATCAGCAGCTTAGGGTAACTTTCGAGAAGTTGATTATTATTATCTTTGTAATATTAACATCAAAGGTAGTCAGAACAGAACAAGCTGGTCTTTCTGACCAGTTTCTGGAGTGTTGTTCAAACTAACGTGAATGTTTCATAAAACCAGAGACAAATATTAAAACTGATATTAAACTGTTCTTAGCCCATACCATTTTCTGTTTGACAATATTTTTTGCATTGACAACGTTGTTGACATGCATTTAGAACATATCACATCATTTAAAATTAAATTAAAAATGTCTTGTTCATTAATAGCGTTATGGTTACCAACGAAATCAAAGTTAAGGTTTGTTGTTTATCCTGTATTTAATTTTTTGTTTTATGTTTTTTGTTGTAATTCGTTAATGAGTTTGCATGCTGATTATCATAAAAACATCTATTACTTTTTTTGTATTTTTTTCTTTTTGCCGTTATATAAGAAAATGTCAATTACATAAAATTAAAAGCAATAGACATACGTTGAAAGTGTTCTATCATACTAAAAATATTCTAAAACTGGTCTAAACTGGTCTTTATTAGCCATCACAATGAAATTATTCTTTAACAGTTAATTAGTTTAAATTACATCAAAACAAATCACTGTAATCCAATAAAGTTGTCTCTTAGCTACCGTTTTTATACGAATTATCAAACGTAAACAACCATATTTACCTAAAATACTTAAAAAGAGTATAAGTTGGAGTTTTGATTTTTTACTAAAATCAAAAGAGTGAAAAAACTTTCTTACTCATTTAATGGTAGAGAAGTAACTTAAAAAAAACAACATTAACAATAAAACTTAAAATAAAAAAAAGAGAGAGATTGGGTGAAAACAGACAAAAAAGTGCAAAAAAATGAAAACAAGATAAATTAAATAAAGAAAAATAAAACAGACAAAAAAGTGTAAAAAAATGAAAACAAGATAAACATCAATATAACCCCACCCCTGGCGAGTTTATAAACAACGCATAATTATAAAACTTTAGGAAAGTAATTCAATGTTAAATGAAAATAAAAATAAAATCGAAGTGCGTTTTGTTAAACTATAGAAACAAAAAAAAGGTATTACATACACAATAAGTAATACAAAATAGCATATGTAATTTTGCATTACTTATTTTGTTTGGTGTTTATTAGCTATATTTTTAGAACGCATATATAAAGAGTGAGGATTAAAAAGCTTCCCTGATTTTATATATAAAAATAAGTAATACAAAATCTATTTATTCATTGTCATCCATCAAAGAACTTTATGATATTAAAAATCTCAACATATGGTTCAAGGCAAAAAAATTATCTTTAAATACAGAAAAAACCAAATTTGTCTTGTTTCATTCTAACCAGCAGAAAAATAATATACCATCAATCCTACCATCATTAAAAATAGATAACATATGCATTAAAAGAACTGAAAAAACTCAATTTCTTGGAATAATTATTGATGAGACGATTTCCCGGAGGGCCCATATAAGTACAATAAATAACGAAATATTAAAAAGCATAAGTGTTCTTTATAAAGCTAAACCAATGCTCTCACAATCAAATCTTAAAATTCTCTACTTTTCTTATATTCAAAGTTATTTAAATTACGCTAACATTGCATGGGGGAGCACACACAAATCTAAATTAAATTCTCTATACGTGCATCAAAAACATGCATCAAGACTGGTTTATAATAAAAATAAATTTACTCAGGCCGATCCTTTACTTAAATCTTTAAACGCACTAAATATCTATCAAAATAATATATACCAAAATATTTTATTTACAAACTTGGACTAGTCCCAAATTATTTTTTTAATAACTTTTTTCAAATTAACGCTAACAAGTATGCTACAAGAGAAACGGGAAATTTCACGTTGCCTATAAAAAAAAACAATTTCACAATATGCAATTGTATACTGTGGCTCTTAGCTATATAGCAAAGTCATACCCCAAAATATAGAACTTAATAATTCTGGTAATCTTTACACTTTGAAGAAAAACCTTAAACATCTCATAATTAACTCAACAAATTTTATCGATATGTTTAAACATATTTGACAAGAAAGTGAAAATGAAAAAAATAACAAAATCTAAAATTCTTATACAACACCTACTAATTTTAATATCTCAATATTTTTATGTGTATTACTCTAGTAAAGTCACTTAACAAGTTTGTTAACTCCTTAACTTTTTTACTTATTTTATGTCTTAAAAGTTCTCGATGACAACACTTCTTTAAGTCTCCTGCGAGTTTCCTTACAACATCACAATTATTTCACCAAATTATTTTATCAAATTTATTATCATAAAATATATATAAAACATATATATATATATTTATTATATATATCAGCTGTCAGAAAATCATACAACTTTTTTTCCAAAACATTCAAAATGCTAAAAAAAAATCAGAGTTGAAAATTGATTGAATAAAAATCATTGATCTCTGTAAAATGAATTTCACGACAACGGAAATTGCTAAACATTTAAAACATCACGGATGTGGTCGCAAGTTGGTAAAATGTACCATAAAATGCTTTAAGAATATTAGAGATGAAACTCCTGTAAAGAAACCAGAGAGACATCAAGTCGTTCACACCAAAAAACTTATAAGGCTTATTCGTTAATGAGATAGACGCAATCCAGCTCAATAAGAAGGATCAGTTGCAAAAGAATTTAAAACCTCTAATACATTAGAAATTTGATTTTTTGTTTGTTTGTTTTTAATTCGAATTTACTTCCAGTAAGCAACGACTAATATATTGGGAAAACAAAGAAAAAAAAATTAAAGAGTTAAAGGAAACAGCTGACAGAATACTTCAAAAGTTGTAGGCAGGGCCTACAACTTTTGTATGTCCTCAATATTTGCAGTTTGGCAACTATAGTTAAAAATTTTAAAAAAGTTTATAAATTAAAACTTGGTTGATCACCAAATTTTAATTTATAAACTCAAATACTACAGAATAAAAAATAAAATTTTAAAATGGTTTAAAAGTTATCTATCTAACCGAAAACAATTTGTACCATCTACAATTTGTACCCACTTTTCTTAATATAACCTGTGGTGTCCCACAAGGTTCAATTCTTGAACCTCTCTTTTTTTTAATTTATATAAATGACTTAAATAAAGCTTCAAAACTAACGAGCATTATGTATGCAGATAATATAAATTTGTTCTTTTCTAACTATTATATCGATGAACTTTTTAAAACAGTGAACGATGAACTCAAATATATATATCTAATTGGTTCAAGTGTATTAAATTCACTTTGAATATTAATAAAACAAAATGGTTTTTATTTCATTCGATTACATAAAGCGATTTATCCCATCAAAATTACCTCAAATCTTTATCAAAATTTTTAGGTGTTTATCTTGATGAAAACATTACTTGGAATCATCATATTGATTATATAAGCACAAAAATTTCTAAAAACATAGGCATCCTATAAAAATCATGAATCTATCTAAATAAGAAAGTCTTAATCCAACTTTATTATTCATTAATGCATAGTTATTTAAATTATGCTAATATTGCTTGGGAAAGTACAGAAAAAAGTAAGTTGCAACGTCTTTACTCCGTCAGAAACGCGCAATCCGTATAATTCGCTTAACAAATCCGTATAATGCGCTTTTAAAATAAAACGATTTTTTTTTGTCTGTAAAAAATTGCAAAGCATTTTTTTTTTTATAGAAGTATAAACATACAAATTTTTGGAGTTTGTTCCATGTCTGGAAGTTAGGTATCTCAAACATCAAAAAAATGCTGCATTCGCGCCTGAACAGTAATAATAGACGCGACTCTGAGGAGATGTTTATTACTTAATCACTACACAGATTATGTTTGCACATTAGCATTAATGTTTTTTTTCCATTATTAGGCCTTTTTATTCTTAATAGCATATTTATTATTTTGTGATCGGTTTTTTGTTTTATAAGTTTTTTTTCTGGTGATGTATTTGTTGTATATATGCCGCTTACATTTTTACTATTTTTAAATGTTCATATTGGTGTTTATAAAACAAATGTTATTTATTTTTTTATTTTTTTATTGTTATTATTGTTGAGAACTGTTTTGGGTGTATTGCCTGTCTAATTTATTTTTAAATATTCCTCTATTATTCTTTATTTTTGTCTTGACAACTGTCAAAATATGCTTTGTCTAAAAAATAATTCTTCTTTATTCAAATGTACTTCATTTCTTCCCTCAGGCGTTCACTGCTCGTGTGTGACCATTCGGCGAATTTTATATGCCAAAGTTTTTAAATAATCAATTTTGCAAATCTCTCATTCGAAGCATTGTTTTATTGAAATGAGAATTCTGAATATGATTCTGAAAATTCTGAAAATGAGATTCTGAATACGAGTATTTTTACATTGCATTAGTATTATTACAATGTATTTAATATTTTATGTTTTGTGTATATGTGGATAAACAACTTATCCCTGGCCGTCTTCAAAGATCTTTTCTCTTTTAAACTAGTCAGTAAATATATTTTGAGAAATAATAACTTTTTAAATGAATGAATTTGTTAAACAAACTTTAATCAATTTTGTGTTGCCTATCGAGCACCTCACCTTTAGAATAAATTTGTTTTAGCAAATTTTAATTTTGAAGTACGTATTACTTTTTGTCTTTTTTTTTAAAAAAACTGAAAAACCTCATTCTTTCTTTAGATAATATATTGAATTATTATTAGTAGTTAAAGTTAAAAATATATTTTCGTCTACTTTTTTTTTTTTTTTATTGTTTATACACATGTTTATGTTTATAGAAGTTTATTCCTACTTATTTTATTTATTGTTCTTATACTTTTTACTTTTTAATTTATATGTTGGTCTACTCTTGTATAAAAATTTGATGAGAAGATCCTCTGAATCTTTCTTCAGACACAGATTGTTTGCGTTGCAATTTTGTAAAAGTTTATTAATTTTTTTTATCTTATCTTTGTCAAATGCTTTTTTAAGGTTCTGACGACAAGATCCTTGCGATCTTCTTTCAGATACTTTGTTTATGTTTGTTATATTTTATGTCATTGTACGTTTATATTATTATTTTTATTATTTAAAACTGTACAACGATTAACAAATTAATTATTTCGATTAAGGAAAGCCAAAAACTAATGACCATAGATGTATAATCATATTCAAGATCGGCTGCCTGGTTAAAGCAATCGAAAAGAGAAGACAGAAGCATAAATTTGAGTCTTCAGCAAAAAGGACCACTTTAGATTTAAGGTTGTCAGGAAGATCATTGGTCTTTATAAAAAATATTTCACGACAAATAAAATTGCTAATCGTTTAAAACATCACAGATGTGGTCGCAAGTTGGTATAATGATATCTTAAAATTTTTTAAGAATGGAGGTGAATTTCTAGAATAAAAAACAGAAAGAAAAAAACTGTTCGTACCAAAAAATTCATAAATATTCATCAATATTCGTATTCATAAATATTCATAAATATTCATAAATATTCGTATTTATAAATATTCATAAATATTCATAAATAATCGTACCAAAAAATTCATAAATATTCGTTATAGACGCAATCCAGCATAATCAGAAATATCAGTTGTTAATAGATGAAAAATGATAAAGAAACAAAGCACGGTTGCCACTGTGAAAAACTATTTCTGGTTGAAAAAGTTTATAGAATTAGTTTAAAAGAGATCTTACGTAACTGGGTACGTAATAACACAAATCTTGTGTTAATATCATTTAAAACACAAGTATTTGAAAGAGATCCTACGTTATGTAAACTGGATGTGATGATATTAAAATAAATATTTTAATTGATGTACGTTATAAAAGACGATGTTATAAAAAATATTCTTTATAAAATCTTTAGAGGATCCATCCCATTGGGCATCAGACGTCCAAAGACGTCTTACAGACATCCATTGGACGTTTGGAGGTCCATTTGACGCCTAAGATATCCTTGATTGCACAAAGATTTTTTCCAGATTAACTAAAAATAACAAAAGTAACTCCAATCAATAAAACCCAATGATTGGTGTTACTTTTATTATTTTTGATTTATTGTTATATATAACAAATTAACCCGCTTTTTCAGTACTTTAAGATTTTTTTAAAAATTTTTAGAAATTAAGCATATATTTTAAAGAGCCTTGACAGGACAGGAACAAAAAGAAGACTATAGTTGTCTTATCACTAAGCTCCGTAATATATACCATACATAGCATAGCATTTTTAAAAAACGTGTAAGATAATACAAAATCTTTTAAATATAAATGAAATTTTCTTAAAAATTATATTTTCAAGAAAGAAATATAAATAAATAAGGAAAACTTAAATAAAATTTAAAAAATTATAAAAAAAAAAAAATGCTCGATAAGGGGTTTATCGAGAATATTCTATACACAGAGTTTTACATTTGATAGCGCCACAAAAAACATTTGACTTTTGACCAAAAACACCGAACTTGCATAAATTTTACACTTTTATATTTTTTTGTACGGTTAAGCAATCACTTTGAAGTTTTTTGCATCAATTAGTGTTACACAACCTCTTTACAGCCATATATAGAGAGTACTATGCATATATAGAAAGTACTATGGCTTCAATTAATTATAAATCTTAGTTTTTATTTATGTTTTCTTAAAGAATTGGTACTTAGGAAATGTATTTGCAAATTATGTATATTTAGCTTTTTTTAATACGCCGTTTTTTGTTTAAAGAGTTTCACTTTTCTTTACTAAAGAGCTTTCACTTTCACTTTCACTTTCAATGCCATTCTCAGAAAGTGAATAATTTTTTTCTATTTTGAAAACTAACGAAAATAATATAAGGAACAAAACCAAGAGTTTTATGCCATATAAAGCAGTTATGTTATTTCAAATGATTTGAAGTTGATACTTGATTTAATTCCTTTCTTTTTGATATATTATATAAAATAAATATATATTGAGATATCTTATTTTTTTTTGTGAAAATTGACATTTTTGATTTTCAAAAAGTCTTAAAACCTAAAATGAATTAACTTAAAAATATCTAACTAAATATGGACCTAACATAGTAAGGACCATTCGCGGAATTTTTTTATAAATGAAGTAAAAGTATGAGTTTATCTCTGATGTTTCTATGTGACTTTTTGGCTAATTTTCAAAATATTTTTTTATTGTTTGATTATAAAAAAAACTATTTTTAAGACTTCATCTTGAATGTTTCTTCATCTTCATCTTGAATGTTAAAATGTAAATGTTATATAATTTTTTATTTATTTGTCACTTGACATTAAAATTGTATTTTTTAAATTTTTATAGTTGATAATATATATTTCATAAAAAAAATATTTATTAGTAGGTATAAATAGTAGATATAAAACAGTATGAAAAAATGTTTACAAATATCTTAATTTGCAACGTGTGACTACACATCAGTGTCGTCCGTGTTTAACCGAGAAATGTAATCAGATCATATTATGAAGTAAGTTTAAGTTTAATCTACATTATTGTGTTATTAATCTACATTATTGTGTTATTAATCTACATTATTGTGTTATTAATCTACATTATTGTGTTATTAATCTACATTATTGTGTTATTAATCTGCATTATTGTGTTATTATTCTACATTATTGTGTTATTAATCTACATTATTGTGTTATTAATCTACATTATTGTGTTATTAATCTACATTATTGTGTTGTTAATCTACATAAAAATCCTTGTTTTTAATTGCCTAGTTTTAACACTTCTTTTTATAGCAGATGCTTTCGGGTTAGTTTTCAAAACTTCAGGTGAGAGTAATGAAGCAATGCTTGGTGACACTTTGTTCAAAAAACTTGTTTCATGATGTACTACAGGCATTTCAGGCTCCATGCCATCAACATGTGCTACAGTCATTTCAGGTTCAACAAGATTTGTGTTTACTACATCTGGAGCAGCACGATCTGTAACTGATAATGGTAAATATTCATCATCTTTAAAAATTTCTGGATTAAATGGCCCAATGCCAGCTACTTGAAATCCTCTCTGTATATTAGATGGTGAGAAAGCTTTTGTATATGGTTCGCGAACTATTGAAACAATATCATAAATGGTCATAAGTCTTGGATTTGTGACCATCCAATTATCACAGGCAGCATTGTAAAACCTTTTAAATGGTCCAAAACAGTTCTATCAAATGGTTGCAATTTATGGGTACAATGGGGAGGAAAACTTAGCATTGTAATTCCATGTTAAATTGCAAGATCCAAAGCTCTAACAGAAATATGACTTTTATGGCTGTCCAGAAGTAACAAAGCTAGAGATTCACGAGACCAGTTTGAATACCTCACAAAATGTTTTATCCATTCTATAAAGATGTCTGAATTCATCCAACCAGAAGGATTTGCAAATCCCACGCATCCAGGAGGACCTTCCTTTATTATGTAATCATGAAATTTGACCCTTGGAAAAACAAATAGTGGAGGAATAGAGCAGTGGCGGATTGAGGTTTAGTGTCGCGGGGGGGCTAAGTCAATAAATAGGGGCGACCGGGGTTGCCTTCAGTAATTTGATCTTATATATATATATATATATATATATATATATATATATATATATATATATATATATATATATATATATATATATATATATATATATATATATATATTGATTAATTTAGGGGGCGCTGTTAGACCGTTCTAGGGGGGCGTGGGGGGCAGCTTGTTTCCCCCACGCCCTATACTAAATCCGCGATTGGAATAGAGTTTCCAATTGCATTTGAAGCACAAAATACAGTTACTAATGTTCCTCGTTCTGCAGATGTGATTCTTTCTACTTGTTTACTTCCTTTACCTGCTAACACTTTTACTGGCTTTTGTACTGTTGTTAAACCAGTTTCATCAACATCATATGTGCAATAAAGATCAAACTTATATCGATTTCTAACTGTTTTTAGATTTTGGAAAAATTCTCCAACAGTGTGTCGGTTAAAGGCAGTTGATTGAGCAAAGCTAGTTGCTTCAAGTGTTCGTAAAGACAACTCTGGTTGTCTTTTCATAAAATCTTGCAACCAATCAATCCCTGCAATTTTATTCTTGATCCATGATGAAAGACAAATCTTATTATTTTTTACAGCAAATTCGTATGCCAATAATCGTGTTGACTTAGTTGAAAGTCCATAGTTTAAAAAAAAAAACTTTTATATAATAATATTATGTAAACTAATTGTAAAACTTATGTAAAACTAAAAAATAATGTTATTAATATTAGCTTTTAACACTATTACATTTTAAAAATGAAATTTTAAATATTTTTTATTCGTCATAAGTTTAAATGTATAAAATTTAAACAAAAAATTTAAGTCTTATAATATAAGTTATATGGGGCACTTTGATCCTCCGATCAATGAGCCCCGCATAGTCAACGATCACTGTGCCCCATTAGGTACAGTTGATATATTGATGCCAATAACTTCTATAAATACAGTAACCAACTCAAAAAAACAAATTTATTATTAACTTAACACATATTAGTTTACAATAAATTGGTTATAAAGTCATACGGAAATCTAATTAAAAACTTATTTGAATTTGTTTACAACTTTCAAAAATCACTTTTAATGATGAAAAACAGTCTTTTCAATTTTCTTAACGCTGAAGTTGATCTTATCAAAAATTATTACGATTAAGTAATGAAGAGTAGTATCATGGTTAATTAAATTGCAATCTTTGTTAAATTAAGACAAAAGTAAACGAGTAAAAGCTAAAAGATCATACTGCCCCGGCGATCAATGCGCCCCCATCTCCCCTAAATTTCAATAAAACAAAATTACATATTTTTACATATAAGTACAAAACGTATAATTAAACAATTTTTGTGCCATTAAAATTATTACTAGACAAAAGAAATTCAAAATTCTGTTTAGCGCATGCGCGTTGTACAGTGTACAAAATAAGGTAACTATTCGTTGTTTATAATATAAGGTGCTGGCTATTAACCCATGTACTTAAAAAAATATATGCAAGTCCGTCGTACCACAGGGCTACTAGGGACTTGCTTGCGGACGTTGTTGAATATATATATAAAATTATTCTTAAAAAATATTATTCTTTGTTGTAAGGAAACTCGCAGAAGATTAAAATAGATTTTTCATCGAGAACCTTTAAAACATAAAATAAACTTTAATGAACTAGTTCAATAAATACACATATGTATTTTGGTATCTACTATATAGTTGAAGTAGTAGGGCTTTTTATTATTACTATTTTTCCTAAACTGTTTAACACAGTTTGATGAAGTTGGTTAAGTTAATTATGATATGTTTTAGTTTTTTTTCCAGAGCATTAAGGTTATCCATTTTATTAAGTTCCATATTTTGAAGTATTATTTTGTTATATAAGTATGGGTCACGGTATATTAAAGAAAATCGCGAGAATTTTGTTTTTTTTAAAGGCAAGGTGAAGTTGCTTGTTCCTCGTGTGATATATTTGTTTGCGTTGATATGAAAAAAGCTATCAGTAAAGTATTTCGGAACAAGTCCGAATTTGTATTTTAGCATGAATAAGATATTTTGGTAAATATTTATTTGATAGATATTTAAAGCATTCAAATTTTTAAGTAAAGGGTCGGCATGAGTGAATTTATCTTTATTATAAATTAATCTTGATGCATGTTTCTGATGTATGTAGAGTGAATTTAATTTAGTTTTATGGGTACTTCCCCGTGCAATATTAGCGTATGTTAGGTAACTTTGAATATAAGAAAAGAAGAGAATTTTTAAGTTGTCTTGGAAAGCAAAGGTTTGGCCTTGTAGAGTACGCCGATACTTTTTGATATTTTTGTGTTTATTGCTGTTGAATCTGGCAGTTTATCACTACGAGCAGCTGCACTGGAATATAAAATTTCGAAATCAAGTTTACAGCAGAAAATAAAGATTAATTAAGAAACTTCTTACAATGACTTATACTTTAATGAACAACATAAATATATTTTTAATAAGGCGGAAGAAGATGAACTTTCAACTTATCTTCGTCAAGCATCTGATATGCATTTTGGACTTAATGTTAGAGAAACAAAGCAACTTCCATATCAATATGCAATTAATAACGGAATTAAAATACCAGAAAACTGGAAAAAGAGTGATACTGCTGGAACTAAATGGTTTTGTTTATTCTTAAATCATACAAAGTTATCAATTTGTATGCAAGAGGCTACCAGCATTAGTAGAACAACTAGTTTCAATCGCACCAATGTAGATACCTTCTTTAAAAACCTTGACAGAGTACAGAAGCGCTATAAATTTTCTGCTGATTACATTTACAGTATTGATGGAACAGCTCTTATAACTGGTCATAAGCCAGTGGTTGCGGGTAAAGAAGTAAAGCAAGTAGGACAGGTAACTTCTGCTGAAAAGGGAATCCTAGTTACAATGGTTAATTGTATAATTGCTCTTGGAAATACTATTCCACCGTTTTTGATATTTCGTAGCCACATGCTTAAAGGTGCACCAACAGGTACCAAAGGTGATGCTAATCCTAGTGGATGGATAAATACAGAAATATTTTTGAAATGGTTTGATCATTTTGTGCAGGAAGGACATCGTAGCCAGCATCATCCAATACTTTTAATAATGGACAACCACAAAAGTCATATATCGATTGAATTGATGGATAAAGCTAAGGAAAGTAATGTTGTGCTCTTGACATTGCTACCCCATTGCAGCCACAAACTCCAACCACTTGACAGATCAGTATTTGAGCCATTAAAGAAATTTTACAGTTCAGCATGTGATTCATGGTTAAAGGCACATCCAAATACTCCTATGACGATATATGACATTTCTGAAAATTTAGGAACATCTTAGGCGAGAGCCTTTACTTCCCAAAACATTTAAAACGGTTTTAAGGCAGCTGGCATTTTCCCGTACGATCTATATGTTTTTAGTGATGTGGACTTTTTATCTTCTTATGTATCTGATCAGCCAATTCCAGCAAATGTCTCTACCATATCAGCCCGTTTGTCCAGCAGTATTTCTCCGGTCCAAAAAACAATTTCTTTCAGTATAGCTAATGTATACGATAAGACAGACCCTGCAAATAAGGCTTACAATTTAAGTAAATCAGCTGATTCGCAAATACAAACAATCCATACACCACTATCAATTGTATCAGAAGTTATTAATGACAAAAAATAGCAAATAAGCGCTTCTGTCAACCATTGGACAGCAGAAGATATAAGGCCGTTTCCAAAAGCGGGTGAGAGGGTGACAAAGAGAAAATGTTCAAAGAGAAAAGTGCAAAAATAAAATGTTCTAGGTCTCTGGTATTGACTGACACACCAACAAGAAATGAATTAGTTGCAAGTTTATTAGAATGTAAAATAAAAAAGGAAGATAAAAATATAAAAAAGCAAAAAGTTACCCCTTGAGACATCAACACAATATTGAATCTATTTAAACATCAAGCGACCTTGTTGAACAAAGTTATAAATGCATTTAGAATGCATTTATAACTTTGTTATGTTAAATAAGGAGTAGATTAGACAGATTAAAATATTGCTCAAAATTATTTGTTTCTAACTTGTCCCATTTCACCCCAAACGTTGTCCCATTTCACCCCAACATGGGGTGACATGGGACAAACAGTGTCACATTAAAAAAGCGAGGCTGTGAACTTAATTTGATGGTTAAGTAATGGGTTTTTAAATAATTTCCCATGACAACTCATTAGACTATAGTTTTAACCCAAATTGTATGGTGTTTGGCAAAAATATAAAGCGCGGCAAACAAACAAATTTTTTTGTCCCATCTCACCCCGTTCTCCCCTATCTCGCGCAAGTTTTAAAAAGTCTAGCTATACTTTAGTATATGATCTGGTTGGCATCCAAAATTAAACAAAAATAAACTAAAATACAAATTTTCTTAGATAATTGATTTTCCTCAAATTTTTTTAGATGGGATTATAGTTTATTCTAAAATGCATGAAACTTTCTACTAATTTTTTTTTTCTACTTTGAAAATTTCTACAAGGAACTATTATTCTCTGTAACAAGGTGTATGTTACAAAATTTGTTATTCTATCAGGGAGTTGCTGTTTTGAAAAACTAATGATATGAATTCTGTTTCAAAAAATATTTTAGATGTTATGATAACTTGTAACACAAGTTGTATGTTTTGTGGTCTTAAATTTCTTTTGAAAATGTGATACAAATCTAAATAATTAAAAAAATCTGAAAAAAGCCATAAAATATCAACGCAAGTCACAAATTATACACATGAAGAAATAGTCTAGCTGATTAAAACGCTGTTATAAGAAACACTTTTGTAACAAATTTGTTGTGTTAGGAAACTTTGCTAAAGAACTACTTGAAGGAGAATTTAGAAGTTCTTAAATAAAAGTAAGCAAGCTTCGACTTTTAGTATAGTCGGCAAATATGAAAATATTTAAAAATATGAAAAGATCTATATTTTTTTTATTTGGAAAAAATATTTAAGGTTTGGGTTAATAAATATTTAAGGGTGGGTTACAAGTATTAAAACTTCAGAAAATAATAAGATTTTTTTATAATAGGTAAAGACCTTTTGTCGTAATTTTGTTATTAAATGATTTTTTGCAAAATCTAAGATTAATTGATAGTTTGATGTTGTTAACATTTTGTTAAACTGTTTTCGTTACATCTGTTTATAAGGTAGATTACGGTATTATAAGCGCGAAAGCGAAAATTGAAATATTTTGAAAAATAATTGGCTGGATCCAAAATTTCTGCGAAAATACAATTACCCAGTAAGTAGACACTACTTGGCCCAATAGCGAACCAGGCTCGGCTGCCGAGCTGTACCAGGCCTGGCACACCAGCGCCGTGGTTAAATTCTTATAATATACTTTTTGTTAATAATTTACTAGTTAATAAATTTGCATTAAAAATATTTAAAAAATAAATGCATTAAATTTATCATTAATAATATAAATACTTGTAAAGCTTATAATTATGTAAAATATACAATTAATATAAAACATAACATATAAAACAGATCATGCAAGACTTTGAGAACATTATACT